TTCCAGTCTATATCGCAAGCAAGAATTTGGAATTCGACAGAATATATAGTAGCTGATTGTGATCCTTGCCATTAGAATAAAAGCTAGGTCTCTTCTACTCGTTCTCGATCACTTTCTCTAAATGTGGTCGTAAACACTTCTAAGAATGAATTCAGATCATAAAGGAGTCGTGAAGCTTTTTCCATTAAAAGTGCAAACCAAGAGAGAGCACTTCCTGATTGTAATGCGCCTATAAATCTGACTTGGATAAATCTATCAAGATATTGAAAAGGGTGTAATCTTTAATAAAGCTTGACTTGTTGCAAAAATCTTCGAAATTTTGATCTTGTTCCTTCAAACTTCTCAGGCATTCTAATCTTTGTCCCTGTCATACTTGTAGAAGCAAAACTCCCTAGATTTGGTTGTGACATTGATCTACTTGCTTCTTTCAACTGTACAACTTTTTATTGTAAACTCTGAACTTCTTCCATAGGCATAGGCATAGTACTTCCATGATTCACATTAGAAATACGTGAGATTTCTACTCTTAGAGTGTTAACAAGCTCATGAAGATCTGCTACAGTTGCAAATCTATTCTCACTTCCATTGAAAGTAGCATCTATAATCTTTCCTTCTGTAGCCAACTCAAACAAATCCAAAAGTTAAATTAAAGGAAGGTAATTTGCAACCTCTAAAAAAAAATCCCACAAAGAGGGATAATCCACTCTTTTTAAGAAAAAGATTAGTGTTAGAAAAAAAGATTTTTTTATTTAAAGGTGGATAGTCTACAACCTTTAAAATATAATAATAGAAGTGAAGTAATCCACTCACTTCTAGAACAAGAAAAAAATAATATATTAAGACTCTTGTCAAACTGTCAAAGACATGAATCTTGAAGAAAGAGAATCCTCAATACACTCTTCTATCATTGAAGAGAACTAGAAAGTCACTCAAAAGGTGATGTAATATTAACTAGAATAGCTATTGCCAAAAACAAGAAGTCTAGAAAGTCTTGAAACAAGACTAAGACTGGAAAGGTATTGACAAGAGTGAAGAAGGCTTCACTCTTACCTCTATATATACTATCTAACTAAGAGCCACGTGGCGATGTCCTATAGGACCTCCAACATGTGTTGACTTTATTAGCCACATGTCTTATCTTGCAAGGCAAGTTATCTATGTATGCACCACGTAGTTGACTTGTTCTACAAGCTACCAATATATGGTTAGCTTTTTGGCCAAGTTTCTAACCTATGAACACATCTAAAGTCAAAATCATGTCTATAAAGCTTCTAATAAGCTTCTCTAAAAGACTTTATGAAATTATTCTATTTTACCTACTTTTGCTTAATTATATAAGTAACTATTGAGATAAATATATATATGTCCGTGACAAAAATACATCTAAAGTCAAAACCACATCTATAAAGCTTCTATAAAGCTTTTCTAAAAGACTTTATGAAATTAATCTATATTTACTTACTTCTATCTAATCGTATAAGTAACTATTGGAATAAATGTATATATTTGTGATACTTTACAGACTTCTTCAGTCATTACCTATTCCAAAACAACTATGTTCTTTCGTTTCTATGGATTTTATCACGAATCTTTCAATTTCAAGTTTGTATGATTTTATATTTTTGATAGTAGATCATTTTATTAAGATGGTATATTTTGTATTATGTACAAAATCTATCACAAGTGAAGAAATCACTAAGCTTTTTTTCAACAACATCTATCACTATCATGGATTATTCAAGGATATTATATTAAATAAGAAGACTCAATTTATATCAAGATTTTAAAAAATTCTTTTCAAGATATTAAAGATGGATATAAACTTGACTTTAATTTTTTATCATCAAATTGATGGGCAAATAGAATAGGTAAATCAAGTTTTGAAGCAATATTTGAGGTATATCATTAATTATCATCAAAATAATTGAATAACTCTTTTGTCATTTGTAGAATTTACACATAATAATTTGATACATTCTTCTATTTAATAACTATGTTTTTTTGCTAATTATGGTTATTATCTATCACTTGATACTTTTGACTTTTCAAAAGTTGATAATCCTATGACAAAAAATTTGGTGAATTGTTTGTGAAAATTATATTGAATAATAAAGGTACAATTAAAGGAAGTCTAAGAAGAACAAAAAATCAATGCAGATGCTAAACATAAGAAACAACTACAATTCAATGTAAGTGACAAGATATGGCTATTTTATCGTAATATCAAGACTATACATCTTTGTGACAAGTAGGACTATTTAAAGCTTGGACCTTTTTTATTAGTAAATAAATCAATCTTATTGCTCATTGATTATATTTATTGGAATCTATGAAGATCCATCTCCTATTCTATGTGTTTCTTCTTGAGCCTTATAAGATAATGAATATCTTTGAGAGAAGAAAAATGCCACCTCTTCCTATAGAAGTGGATAATAATTATGAATTTAATGTAGAAGAAGTCTTAGATTTAAGGTGGTGTTGGAATAGAGAGAATTTGCCTCAAAAAAACAATGGACTTTTAGATGTTATTAATTGTTCAATCAAGCTTCAAAATAAGGAAATTCCTAAGTTTGTATATAATTTTTTCCTTTTTGAGAAATTACACCAAATTCATAAGCCTCAAGTAACCAACAACATCCAAAATATGATATTAAAGAGATGAAAAATCAACAACCAACAGATTAAACTTAAGAGCTATCACTTGCTGACTTATTAGATGAAACATTGTGATTGTGACAACCTTCAAGACGACATAGTTAAAATAAAGATCTTCAAGAATGACATATCTTTCCTTAAATAGATGGCAAGATACAATGTGTTTGATATCATGACCTTCAAAGAGACTTCCAATATTTGGTGATTTTATTAAAGGTTGGAACAACTCTTCATAATATTCTAAATGTTTTATTTAAAGGAAGTTACAAATGCCTCAATAATGATCAAATAATAGGGTGACAATAGCCATTCTAGTTCAATACTATACCATCTTTGAGTGACTTTTTAGTTCTTTTAAATAATGCAAGAATGTATTGAGGATTTCTTTCTTCGAGCTTCGTATCCTTAACAATAATCCTATGTTGTAGCAAGGAGAATAAATAAAAATAAAAAGTATATGACAATTATGTTGTTGAAAGTTGGTATTATCTCTTAAGTCATTGTAGGAACCATCTACTCTATTGATTGTTCATCTTTGTTTTGAAATATCTACAACTAAAATTACAAATTAAAGACAAAAGTTTTTGCATGCAAGTAAGCAACCAATTGTCAAGAATAAGAATTTGAAGAATGAAAAAAAATCATGTGAGATGTATCTTAAAAAAAGATAACAAAAAAATAATGAGAAAGTATATATATTTAAGAAAAAATTGAAAATAAGGCTATTCTCAATTGAATTGTTAAAATATAAAATATTTATGATATTGATATCCCATCCATGATCTATTTTTAAATTTTTTAAAAATATGATTTAAAAAAATAATCTATTATTATATTATTTAATTTTTTTAATTATTGTCCTTCCATTGTAAGCTCTTTTTTATGCACAAAAACACAATCCACTCTTTTTAATTCTCTATCTATACAATTATTCTTCTTTACAGATTATCACTTGTAAATCATTTATCTTTTTGTTTTTGCAAATTCTTTGACTACCTTCTAAACTTCTTCAAATATCATATAAGAGTCAAAAAGTAAAGCCTCTAGCAACATGATGTTGCAAGAATGTAAGTTCTTAATAAAAAAACAAAAGCGCATTCTTATTGTCTCCAACACTTTCAAAAGAAGATAATAAAAAAAAATGAATATAGTTTCATAAGTCAATTTGAAGTGTGTACAAAAACTTTGATGCATCAAAGATTTGAAATTATAGACAACTATTTAAAAAATAATATATGTGTACAAATAAAAACTTAAAGTGCAAAATTTGTGGAGATTATATCCAATAGATTATATTTGTATCAACATGCATCACCAACATATGATATTGGTATACATTCACATATGCCAATAAATAATACTAGCAATAAAAATTGGGATTAAGTTCAATATAGATATGATATTGGTATACATTCACATATGCTAATAAATAATACTAGCAATAAAAATTGGGATTAAGTTCAATATAGATATGAGTGATGAATTTAGTGAATGAGAGTTATATTTAATAAAAATAAAAAATAAAAAATAAAAACTTTGTGTACTATACATAGAAAGGCTATCAACACTAGGAGATGATGTCTTTTTATTAACGTGGGGTGCTGTTCCACTATCATGTCCCTTTAAAATATCAGCTAAGATTCAAAATATGTATAATCCAAAATAAAACACAAAGCTATTTCAATACACATGTGACATATATTTAAGATATTTTTGTTGTATATACATGTGACATATATTTAAGATATTTTTGTTGTATATACATGTGACATATGTACTGGTAATTTTTTGTGACGTTTTAAGGATGCAAAACGAAGAGTGCAATTGTTAATGAAATTACTTATTTTTGAATAAGAATAATACCAAATATTACATATAAATATTTATATATATATAATTGAAAGAATAAAACCTAAGAATTTGTTTGTTTAATCACTTCTAAACGTTGCAAAAGGAGATGGTCTGAGAAGGCGAGAATCATGAGAAGAGACAGCAAGACCAGCATCTAATGGGGTCTTTCTGGAAAAGCCCCGTCATTTCCGCCCGTGATTCAGGAGTTGTGGTTTGTTGGACTTGCATCGTTGAATGAACCCGCCGTTTTTCTCTCGTTCGTCGTCATCGTCGCCTTCCGTCGTCGACTGAAGACGGTCCGTTCGCTGAGCACTGGTGGGGAACGAACGAGAGTGATGGGGAGGGCGAGGGGTGGGTGGGCGTTTTTGCAGTGCAGCAACGGCACGGGGTTGGTCCCGCTGGAAACTGTTCCCGCGTTCTGAAGCACCGCATGGCGGGTGAGGTACTGGAATCGGGGACAGCCAGGGGAGCGGGCAGAGGGGAGCCTGACCCGTCTTGCAGGCCCATCCGTGGCTGGCTTTGCTCTGCTTCCCGCTCCTCATCATCTGGCCTTCGTCATCACCACCTCCATCTCCACCTCCATCTCCACCTCCATCTCCACCTCCACCATCTCAGCTACTCCTGCAAGCATCCTCCCCTCCCCTCCTCGCAGCCCTAACCCCCTCACGCATCGGCTGCGAAGCTCGAACGATCCCCACTTCCTGACGATCTCTATCGCCCCAGACACTCAGCTGGATGAGCCAGGCAATCTGCTCGTTTGGTGACGATGGTGAGCACAACAAGAGGCAGGAAGAGATCATCGTTGCATCCCAGTGATGCCATTACCCTGCTCTCTCCTCCACTCTTTCCCGCGTTCACTCTATCCGACTCGTCTCCCTACTTACCTCTCCTCAATCTCCTTCCCTTTTCCTGAGATGGGTCGAGCGGGATGGTAGCACGGACTTCGGATAATTGTGGGCGTCTTGCCGAGATGAAGTCGTCATTCCCGCTCACTGTGACCTACCCTTCACACCCTCGAGCTCGTGTCTTGCAGTTTTGGTAGTGTATGCATCGAAGGATCTGCTGATAAGGGAGGTGGAGCAGCAGAGTTTCATGATTCCATTGTGCTAGTTGGCCTTAGGTTACTTGGGGTAGTCGTTTGTTAGCGAGGGTAGAGGAGTAGCAAGAATTCATGGTGCATGTGTATGTGATTTTGGATGTAAAGGTGTGGGGGTAACCATGAGTTTAGATGTTCTGGTTTTTGATGGTCGTTGGAATAGCTGGAGTATGTGACGGAGCTTTGTGAAAGAGTGTATGGTTGGTTTGCTGTGATGGTGTCTGGGATATGTTCTGGATGTGAAGGGTGAGGTGCTCGTTTCCTGGAATATAAAACCTGGTCAATGTTCGTCGTTCGCGTTCGTTTGGAGTTCGAGGGTGACGCGATGGAGTAGAAAAAGGGGGGCTCCGGCTCGGGCAATAGGCAGGAAGTGCAGAAGGAGCTTCGGGTAGGCTTACAAGGGGCGAGTTCTCGTGCACTGAAATGCCTGTATAGGATCACACTTCCGCAGTCTCCTTGTGCATCATCGTGTTTGTGGACCAAGTGAAGATGTTGACTCGGGGTGGCAAAACGGCGGCTGAGAAGGTTGTTAGAGAATTTGAGAATGGCGCAGACCTGGGTTCACCTGACAAGCGAGAGTCCATCCCGCCTCTTACAGATATGCAGGTTTGTACCAATTCATTCTGCAATTCACCCTAATAATTTACACAAGAGAACATGGTCACATGCACTCGGCAAGGCAATGCTGCTAACTTACTTGGTCGAGTCCATACGAGAGCCGATGACCCTTCTCGGTTACACTTTTTGTGATACTCTTATAGCAGCACGCATTCCTTTCTTACAATCTACTCGCTTGATATGTTTACAGAACCAATTTCGACTCCTGTTCTCGTGGATACAATGACGTCCTCGAGTTGTAGACCTTGATTATGTGCACTGATGCAACTTAGGCAATGATTCCTCTGTGGTTTGCATACACGTTCAAAAGAACAATGTCACGTATACAATGTTCAACATCTGGCTAACATATCCATTCGTACTGCAAGTTTACACGCGAAACGAATCTTAGTACAGTGGACTTGAGTGCGCAGGATTCTCCCGTGTTCAAGTTCCTATGCAATTTGTCGCCAATCAAGCCTGCGAAGACGGTGCACCATGCCCAGACGTATAACGAGCTGACGTTCCCACCTGAGCCCCGAATTTTTGCCTCTCCACGCAGTGCCAGAAGGTCTTCGTCGAGCTCCCTGAAGAGGTATGATGGAAGCACTCCTAGTGCTCACAGTGTGGCCTAGCCCATCCGCCACTGTATGCATTTCAATGCTATCGTTTTAAACCGACACGTTTTTGGGTCCTTTGGATCCTGTTTCTGTGCCAGCAGCTTACTCTGACATTGGTATCCTGTACTTTTAGAGTTGTGGCTGCTGAGCGTTTGTCAGCACTAGCTCAAGCTGAAGGTCGAGAAAGTCTTACATGGCAATCGAGTATCTCCAGAGGCGCTCTTTCTGACAATGCACCATCTCCATCCCCCCTTAGCCGACGCTCTGATGACCGCCTAGTAACTCTTTGCTCAAGGATCCAAACAGAGCAAGTGCCTGCTTCTCAATCTAGTGGTGAAAACCTCGTTGGTCAAGGGATGTTTGCGATGAACTCCACGCAACTTAATTCAGAACCTACAAATTGCGAGACGGATAGAATAGCGGCCACTACTGCCAACTTCCAAACTCAGTTTACAGATTACCAGCCGCTGGACCAGGTGGCTTCAGCAGCGATGCCCTCGGATATGGCTAGGTACACTGAGGACATAGGAGAAAAGCCAGGTGGAGCAAGGAGTGAACGATCTGATCCTTCTGAAAGAAGGCAATCTACCTCGAGCTTAATATCACAAACAAATGATAGCGTGATGCCTAGTATTTTAAGCCAAGAGTCGAAGTGCGCAGAGTATGACGATCAAAGACGCGTTTCTATGACATGCAGCTCTGTTAATGAAGACCATGGTTTCAGCTACAGCCCCATTGCGAAAGGGAGTCTTGAACTCGATCAGGACACTGCAGCCATGACATATCTCCTCGCTGGAAACCGAGATGTAGGGCAAATCAATGGAAAGGAGTGGTCAGAGAATTCAAGCGAGGTGGATGTCTCGAGGCTGCCGTATCAAGCTGCATCTGTAAGCTCTGAGAATCAGGCTGATACGATGAATGAAGGTACTGAGAAACAAGAGCGTCGGGTGCTTGATGCTATGACTTCCCAGTCTGGATTCGGTGCATCTACTGATGTCAGACGTGACACAGAAACAAACTTAACAACCGAAGATGCGGGCCGTGAACATTCTCTTCCGCCTCAAAGGGTATGGTTACATCTTCTCCAGATGTTTTGATGCTTACACGAGATTCTCATGACCAGCGACTTACAACCGGGACGGCAGCGGTCCTGTCCCTCAGTCCTTTTGTCTCGCATCTTATGTAAATGGAATTAGAAATTTTCGAATTCTTTACCGTGCCTTTCACTTCATGGTTCTCTTTACTGGTTATCATTCTCCTTTTAACTATTTCCTCAATGCATAATGATCTGTACCACTCGTCTCACGTGTTAGTGCACTATCTGCAGGCTGACACCGCTGGACAACGTGGTTTTAGAAGACGGTGTCTCGACTTTGATGTGGCAAGGAGAAAAAGCTTCGGCAGTATGGGCGGTAGGAAGTCTCTAGGCAGTAGGCTTAAAGACTGCAGTGGAATTGATGGGAATAACACATCTGTTCTTGGCGATGGAATGCGTCCAGCCTCAGATGCAACAAGAACCAGAGTGCAGATTCATGTGGATGCTTCGAGGACAGCAACTGATTCTGTTATGCATACGGGGGGTGAGTCTTGCACGATATTTACCTATAATCGCACAAGTTGTCTTCAAATTCTGTGATTGCAATTTTGAATGCCTCCGATGTATATGCAAGTATATGTGGTGTATTTTCAATGCATAGAGATGCTTGTACATTGCTTGTGGTGATCATGGATCACACACTACAGAATTTATTTTAGAGTTTCAACTAACTTGACTATTGGGCCACGGTATGTAACAAGACATTAGAGCTCTCTAGCTCCGTGTTCACGGAGAGACTTGAGCGGTGTACCAACCCCCAATAGTTAATTACGCTAGAAGTCTTGGGCAGTCTTATCAATTAATTCCTCATGCCCATCAGACAGTTCATATTTTGTCCAACAAATGGCAAAGATGACTAGTAACTCCTATCTTTACCATATCAGGTGAAGATTGTGTAGTGCCTTGCGGAGTGATCAGCCACGATAGACCAGAGTGCTCAGCGAATCAGCCCTTGGATTGTACATGACTTAAAATGTGCCAAGCCATTGGAAGCATAACTGTTCTTTTTTCTTTATTTTGTAATCACATCATGATCAGGGGTCCTTGCGCGTGAAGACAATCTTGGAACTATGACAAGGATGCAACAGCTCACAAACAGCACGTACCAAAATAAAATGGATATCATGTACGCAAAGACGGGTGAATCACATGCTCGGAATTCGCAATATTCTGGAGTGACACCTGGAGTTAACTCACCTGATGGTGTGAGGCGTAGTCCTCGCGTTCACAAGTCAGGTATTGGGCTTCACTTGAATTCCCTGACGAGCTCCATGTCCTTCAAACGCAATCCCCCATCTACAGAAGGAGAAAGTTCCAAAGGAGTCCTGGCAACAGTTTTGGGACTACAACCTCTGACGTCGCCAAGTCCTAGAGAAGATTCTGGTGGTGAAGGGTTGAGCAGCGCGGGTTACCCTGCAAACTTGAACCAAAGTTTTAATTCAGGAATGGGGTCTTCGTTAGAGAGGAGAATTGAGATTGAGACGAATAGTGCTGATGCCGCATTCTCTTCTGACAAGAAAGTCGTCATTCCTACTCCTGATTTCACGGGCCTTAACATTGAGAACTTGGCTCCTTTGGAAGATTCGTTACCATTAACTCCAGTTACCACAAGCCCTCGAGATCAAGAACGATCTCAACCTTATCAACAGGAGTTAACATGGCAAGCAGAGGGAGAAGTTACTCACGAGCTTCTAGACAGTCCGCAGAGCTCCAAAAACAGACGGTAAGTGGCACATTGGTTGAACAGGTTCATACTTAGGCGCGTGAAAATTAGACTTTTTAAATCGACGCACGGACGTTCAAGAATACCCGTGAACGAAACAACACCGCATTATGTTTATGCATATGCTGTCTAACATGATTTTCCGTACAGGTTGTCTAGACGGAAATCTACTGCGTCATCTCAGGGTGAAAAACCAGGGGATGGCTGCAAGCGCTGTAACTGCAAGAAATCTAAGTGCCTCAAATTGTAAGTGTTCACTTGGTTGGGTATTTTTGTATCTAGTTTTTTGCTCCGAGTTTTATTATGTTTCATTTTGATGATTTAGTACGGACATCAATCTACAGACGTAATATTTGACGAATTTCCCGTTAGCATGAGGCATCTTACCGCTGCTGGTTCGTGACATGGTAACCTATCTGCTTTTGGCAGGTACTGTGAGTGTTTTGCTGCGCGCGAGTTCTGCGTTGGATCCTGTGCTTGCCGCAATTGTTTCAATAAACCCGAATACGAAGCGACAGTCTTGAACACCAGACAACAAATTGAATCACGCAACCCATTAGCATTTGCTCCGAAGATTGTTCAGGCTCCTGAATCCTCTCCCATCCCTGGGGTAAGTGTAAACAAAACCCAAGTTGTCTCCTAACGGTGGGATATCAACTATGATCTTGTTGATAAGCATGTGAGCGTTCTTTTAAATGTATTGTGTACTGGTTGCGAAGGACGAAGCTTTGGACACTCCTGCCTCAGCCAGGCACAAGCGTGGTTGCAACTGCAAAAAATCACTTTGTCTTAAAAAGTACTGCGAGTGTTACCAGGTAATCACTCATTTTTATTGTTCTGTTTTTATCGTTTTCTGTTGTGTAAATCCTTTTATCAATTTGACAACGGCATTGAATGGATTGTTATTGTGGTGGGCAGGCTGGTGTTGGGTGTTCAGAAGGGTGTCGGTGCGAAGGTTGCAGAAATATGTACGGCAGGAAAGAAGGTCCTTATTTTACCATGCTAGGCGCTTTTTTTTTTTTTTTTTTTTTATCTATTTGTATTCATATCTGAATACTCCCTCCTACTCCTCCTCTCCCCCCCCCCAACCTCGCCCAATGATCTTTCTTCCTAAAATAACAACTCAGTGACATGTGTTTCACTTGACATTGGGTGAAACGTAGGACCGGAAGAGGGTGAAGCGAAGGAGAAAGATCAAGTCAATCTTACTGTCGATAAGTCTCAGGCTGAAGATCCCATAGAGTTGTTCAACAGTATGAGCGGAAAACCTGACCGACTTCGTGACCACGGAAAGTCAAATCCGTCTCCGATAACCCCAACCTTTGAATATGACGGGTATTTGAGCTTGTACCAAGTTTATGTGGTATACATTTGTTTCAAAACATAGCTACTAGCTGTAGATGTGTATCGCCCAGAGGCTGTTGCGACATAGCTTAGTTTCTTTCTCCTTTCACTCGTGCCCTTTATTGTGTTATTCCTTCATGTTCCTTTTAGACTTGGTTATTTTCTTGACTGTGTCCATTTTACATACTTTTGTGTTGTTGGTTGCACTTTTTAGACTTGGAGAACCCATGTCCCGACTGAGGTCTACAGGCCGAAAACGAGCTTCTTCGGACGATCAATGTGGATCTCCCCTAGCCCAACCAGCGTCGAGGCCCCCTAAGTCTCCGACTAGATTCTCGAGTACCTTGGATGCTTTCGACCTTGTACCCTATCCTCAAGAGGACACAGACTTCTCCATATGTGGAGCTGGAGATTCTCCCATGACAACTCCGACGTTTGCGCGCATTGCACACATCTCTCGGTGGGAAGGTTTAAGTGACTTAAGCACCCTCACGCCTCTATCTATGACCACCTTGCAACCAACCCCAGGGTCTTGTGTGACAACTGAACGACCTGATACTTCTCCGGCTTTCACTAGCCAGATGACTGAAACTTCATTTCACTCGGCTTCTGCCACCAGTGCCCATCATCACGCATCTTCTAGGTACTTCTACATCTCTGAAACCCTATATTCAGATTTCAGGTCCAAAACCCGCATATTGTATATACACGGTTTCCACAATGGAGAAGTCTTATTAATATTCATACTCCTTTTGCAGAATTTGGTCGTCACAAATACCAGAGTTCAGGCATCCAGATCCGCAATCCCCTAATCGATTCGACACGCCTCATCAAGCACAGTTGTCCAGCACCGACGATCTTGATTCAACGACTCGCACGTCCACCGTTCACCCAGGAAAGAACCTCCACAATGAATTAGAGTCGGTGAAGACAGCGGCCGATGACGATGGCACCCCGTACTTTTTGAAGTATGGAGACGATTTCAGCTCCCCAACCCGAAGCACCGTGACGAAGTCGAACTCCCCGAAACAGAAGCGCGTCACTCCACCCCGTTACGCAGACAGCAGAGATCAAGCATCATCTGGTGGTTGTGGAAATTCTTTGGCTTCTCCGCCAGGGCTTCGGAACACGAAAAAGTTCATCCTGCAGGCTCTGCCATCCCTGCCGTCTGCTGCTCCCTCTTCTTTCTCCAATGGCTGATGACTGTTTCTTTTGCAACTGGCTTACCTGCTTTCCATCTTTACTTTACTAAGCCGTGGAACAAAACGACTACGACTCTCCACTTTTGCCTCTGCTGGCTGTACAAACTCTGGGACTTATGAAACTTAGCGGGGGTCATTTCTCTGCCATGAACTCTTTCCTGATGCCTGACAGTAAAAAATAACAAATCTTTTATTTCACAGCATGGTAGATCATTAGTTGCCTCAATGACCCACTTTAGAACACGATTCGATTTTAATTCAAAAAACTGTGATACGAGTGTCATTGAACTGCGTGTAGTTTCCATTCTCCTGTTGGAGAGGCGAAGATAACACTAGGCTCCGACTTTTCGGTGGAGTGTCACAAGTATTATCACACTTGCCTATTTTTTCGACCTTGTTTTGTGTCCAGTTCTCTAGTAGTTGCAGCTTTAAGTTGTCCCTACTGATGCAAAGGATTAGATTGACAATACTATCCAGAGGGACCTAAGTAGTACCAGTCTCCTAGGTTACGGTGTGAAGACAATTTTAAGAAGTTTCTTCATGCCACGGATGATGAATAAGATTGAGGAACCCATGAACAATATGGTTGCTGTGTGCAGTTGGTATTTCCTTGCATTATGTGAAGCCATTCCAATCCACCCTCGTACGCATCATTTGTAGTATAGAAAATTTCCCAAAAAAGGTTCATCGCCCTGCCGACTTATGCATTGGTATATATTGGTATATTCCATGAGTTGGCCCGTCTCTCACTGAAAGAGTTCATAGTTGCATCAAACCAATAACTGTAACCACGAAGCATTTATGTTGACTAGATGCCATTACTGCCCAATGTGGTGTGAAACATGCATCAGTTTGCAGGAGTTGGAGTGCGCCTGAATTTAACACGTCACTCCTAGATCCTTTAAAAAAAGAGGCAAATCACAATACAGTCCAAATAGTAGTTCTTCAATGTGAGTGTACAGCAGGAGTGCCTTGTGTGAAAAATGCAAACGTAAATCCTGAAACCCTAACAAATACCAAGTAACAGAATGTTGTTTATTTGGGTTTTAGATATATACATAAATGTTTAATGAGGAACTAGGCAAGGTGACTTTGATTGAATGAGATCCAAAATGATTGTAAATTGTTGTAATTCTAGACAATTTAATGAATGTAAAAATTCCATGGCATGAAGTTATTGCCAAGGTTCAATTCTGGTTCTTTTAGCATTGTCTAAGAATATTGTAAAAAGCCAAAGGAATTAAGAGAGGAGCTCAACATTGTGTATCTTAATATAAAAAAAAAAAATAACACATACAACATATATATATATATATATATATATAGATATGTTGTCACACACATATTTAAACATATACACATATCTCAGCTAAATCTAATTTTTATAAAAAGTTTAAAGCCATAACTTCAAATTTCTTAGGAGATTTGAATATATGATTATTTTCATTGAATTTTTTATTTTTTGAATTTGTTTTCAAGTTTTTGTTTATATTCTAATCTTGGTTCAGGACTCTCTTGTTTCTTTGTATTTAGCAATGGCTACACTAATCTATTATAGTATTAATGAATAATTTAAAAAAAAAAAAAAAAAAAAAAAAACAGCTTGTATTTTTTTCAAAAGTTTGGTTAGATTTATTTTTTTGATAATTCAAAAACTAAAACTCACATAATTTTAAAACTTAATATTTTTCAAATTTTTTTCTTTTTGTAGAAACTTTAAATATTTTGATTATAAAAAAATTAGTATAATTAAAGATTACTATTATATAAATAAAAATAAATAAATTAATCGATCTTAATAATGTAGTAATTCTAATCACTAACTAAATTGCTATCAAAATTAGTTAATTGAATGAATTTATAAATAAAAGTATCTTGTTCAATAGTACTAATTAAATAAATAAATATATATATATATACATATATATAATTTATGATTCTAATTAAATATATTATGTTACAAAATAAATCTATCTTTTTATAATAGATACTATATGTTTTGAAATAGTCATATACTATTTTCTAAATCTTTTATTTTTTGAAAGTACAAACATTTTTGAGATCCAAAAGGTACACAATTAAATCCTTGCATAATTTAGTTTTAAAAGTTTAATTTATTTTCTTGATAAAAATTTGTTAATTTTCATAAGATATTAAAAAATAATTAATTTATACATATTGTATTAGATATCTATATTACTTAAATAAATAGAAATACATAGAAGTAAGTAAAAATAGGTAGAAACATGTTTTAAAAATAAAATATTCTTTAAAAAGCTTCAAGAAAGTTTCATAGATATAGAATAGATAATTAAACTATTATAGATATGCCACATGGCTATTGATATTTGTACCACAAATTTCTTCCTTTTAGAAAGGTGCATTGGAAGCAATCTGCAACTTGATACTTAAGCTACAAGCATTATGGCTTCTAAAAAGTTTGTACAAGGTCTTTTTAGTAGCTAGTATATATGGAGATGGTATCAAGGCCATTTGCAAACTTGCTAACACCTTTTTTATATTCTTTCCTAATCAATGTTCAAGACTCTTTAGTCAATTTGTATTTGATAATAATAATTTTAATTTTGATTTTTTTTTTTTTTTTTTTTTTTAGTATTACATGAATGTATTATTTTCTTTGAGGTTATACAATAATTAATATCTTTAATAGTTTGATAAAATTTTAAAAATATATATATAATGTGATATTTTTAAAATAATTTTTTTATTCTACAACAAGTGAAATTATTGTACTTATTACTACTTGTTTATTGGATTTTCATCTAATATAAAGTAATAATCAAAAAATAAAAAATAAAAAATAAATTTTTAGCTAAGTAATTTTTTATCTTTTTGATGACATAAAAAATTTATAAATCTAAATTTCTATAAATAAATTATAATAATTTAAAGATTGGATGTAAATATTAAAAAAAAATACTTTAAAGATCAAAGGTTCAAACCTCATTAAGGCTCAAAATTACTATATATGAGTATTTTAAAGAGGTCACAAGGAATTAGACTTATCCTTTGACCTATATCCAAGGTACTACAACCTATATGAGACTTATTGACCTCCCTTTCTATAAAGATTAGACTAGGTGTTGGTCTTTTTAATTTCTACTAATAAAATTAACATTTTTGTATTTTTAATCTCGTCGTGGTATTCAAAAATACCTAATTAACTTATGAATCTAATGTGTCCTTTAAAGTTTTGCTCCATTATTTCATAATGGCTCCTAAGGTGATAAAATTTTATATTTATCAAATTCTTTAAAATTATACTAAAAATTCTTAAATAATTTAAAATAAATTATAAAAATTATTATGATATTTTTGTAATTTCAAAAAAAAATTAAATATATATTTTAATAAATTAATCATATTTTAAAATAATAAAATAATTTTAAGTCAATTAAAATGACATGAAATTCTTTCTTTTGCTTCTTCTAATTAATAACTAATATTTATAGGTTTTTTTTAATAAATAATTCATATCAATAGAAGACCAATATAGACATGGATCTCAATAATCAAATATTAATTTTTAATACAACACAAAATTACTTAATCAACTAAAATAATTACCTTCAAGATTTGTAAGACTCTATTTTAATTTAAAAATATATAATAAAATTCTTGTGACTAATAAAACCATCTGTATTCTAAAGATTAAAAAATTATAATCCTAATATTTTTATATTTAAATAAATTAAAACTATATTTTTAATAATTCTATGAATTCAAATCTATTGTTGAGACCTATACTAAGTAGGCATCAAAGATGGTTTTGCCTTGTATTTTTATTTTATATTAAAAAATAAGCAATTGTATATATAGATGTGATTGGAATAAGCAAAAAGCTTGTATTAAGTTTTGTTTTAAAGATCTCAAGGAGTAATTATCCATTTTGTGATTTAATTTTATATCATTTATTTAAAATTAAAAGTCTTTGATGGATAGTATGAACAATAAATCTTGATTGGCATTGAAATCTAAAATAATATTATTTATAGATGTGTAGGGAGGTGAAGCAATCAACAATAATTGGCAGATTATAGTGGTGTCTTACATCAACTTTTGGTATCTTATGGCATATAATGAAAAGAGATGTCATGTTCATAAGACCCACACAATTCTAAAATCTATTGCAATGATAGGTCTAAGTGTAGTGATAGATGGCAATGTGCAATAATAGACAATAATATGTGGTCATATGACTTTCACACATATAAACACAAAAAAATAAAAATAAAAACTATAAACTAAAATTTTGAAGTGTCACAAATTTAATTCTTTTTAGGAGTATAAAAAGTCTAAACTTGATTTAATTTTGAGTTGTTTTTATATAGAATTTACTCAAAGAAGCCAATGGTATTTATAATTTATAAGTTGGAGTCATTTAGAGCACTTAAGTGGCATTTATTTAATACTATTTTATTTTCAAATAAATTTTAATTTATTTCGTTTTGTTTTTTTTTTTTTTTTTTTCACTTCTCACATTTTAGATTGTTTTGTTAGAATCTTCTTTGATTGTCATAAGTTTTCTGATTTGTGACCATGAATTGCAAACAAATGCCAATTGTTTTGATTCACTTGTGATTTGTAATCTTCAACTATAAGCATATATTAATCACTTGGTTCTCTTGTGATTTCTACTTTTGTATTGTTGGAAATGATGATTTAGTATGGATTTTTGATTTTTATCTTTAATATCTTTTCTTACTTATAGATAATATTTTCAAAGGTTTTTTGGTCTTCTTTCATTTTGTATTATATTAGTCAATGTTAATAGATATATTGTAAAAATGATGTCATGTTGATAGAAATTCTTTTGTTGGCTTGTTAGTCTTATAGTGATCTAAAGAATTTACTAATGAATTGCAAAGATAGTGGTGGTTGTAGGCAAAGGTTGTCCTTAAGCCTTTAGATAGGTGCAAGTATGGAAAGAGTCATTTTATAGTACATATTAGGAGTTGATATCATCAATCTACTTGACTAAATTATTTGACCACATTGAAGACTTTAAACCAATAGTAGATACTAATAAGGCTTTTCAGCATGTTTCAGCATGAGGACGCTTTGACTCTCAAGTATGGATGTATTTTACAAGATAGAAGATGATTTTTATTGTATGGTAAGATATCAGTTCTTATGATAAGTTAAACACATTTTTTTTTATCAAATTGGAAGCTCTAATTCAAAATATAGATACAAAAATCAAAGATATGTATATATATATATATATATATAAATATATAATGAATAGTATGTCTTTGAGCTATTACCATAACATTTGGAGCATGAGTTAGTCCAAACCTATAGAAAATGGAATGAAGAGCATTCACTTCAATTGTAAGATGTGAAGAATTATTGTGAGGCAAGAATAGAATTTATTTTTTTTCTTAAAGAAATGATATTGTTAACTTAATGCCTATAATGAGGGAGAAATATCTACTAAAAGTAAAAGTTGAGACAAATTTAAAAGACACCAAATGAAAAGTAATAGTAGTCGCCTCAAATTTATACTCCACTCACCTTATCACAAATGGCTCAAACTATGATTGGAGCTTTGTTTGTAATAAGAGAGCCACCATTATTTGAGCCACTTTGGATGTTTATTAAATATTTATAGAATGAATATGGGGGCTTTATATGAAATTAAATGCAATGCATCTAAGACTTCTAATGCATAAAAAAAGACATCATATGTACTTTGTATACTCATTTGATTTGATATGCAATAGAAATAAGAGGTATTTTTACTAAAATCCAACCTATCAAGATATTTTTATTTGTGATTAATAAGCAGCTTTTGAAATTAGCTACATCTGAAATTATTATCAATTATGATGGAAAGACAATGATAGCACAAACATTTCTTAAAGTTAAAAATTATAACAAGGTCTTTTGTCAATTTCATATTATTGACATGGTTACTCCAATGACAAATATTTCTAGGTCTAAAAAGGTCGCAATTGCCATGACTAGCTTGATAAAAATTCAACCTAAAATGACTATGTATAGTTGAAGGTGTAGTAAATTTGGCCACATTAAAAATGATTCCAATTATCTTAAAAAGAAGAAAGCCAAAGCAAAACAAAATGCCTAAGATATGAGATAAAACTTAAAAGAAGCAATTGAAGTGTATTCGTTGTGATAAATTTAACTACAATGAGAATAATTGTTTCATTTTTCATTCAAACAAAGAGCTTTCTTTGAATAAGAAAAGAAATTTGGAAGCTTAAATTACCAAACTAGATAAGAAATTTAATACTCTGGCCTCATTAGACCGTCACAAGATCTCATATAAATTCTAAGGCTATAGTAATTTTTTATATTCTAGATATCTCTATGTTTGGTGCCTCAAAACAAATTGTAGTTGTAGTTGCTATACATGCCCAAATAATGTCTAAGAATATGTTACCTACCATAAGTAAGGCACTAAAAATCATGCGTGGCCGTCAAAACAATTGTAGAGATTTTAATAGTTATGTTCAATGGCTATTATTATTTGATTTTAGAGATATTAGTTTTGCAACTAAAGCTTTTATTTTAACATCAACATAGGATAGAAAATTAATATTTAAGATATAGTACATTTATTGGCTTATGATATACTAAATTTGTGTATTTTTTGTAGTGTTGATTTGTTACTCCTAAATTTAAATTAGTAGAAATTTTCCAGCTAGCTAATAAGATGTTATAAAATAAGGTGCCAATGCCATCTTTAGAGATATCTGAAGCAGCCACAAAGACTTGAATAGAAAAGAATTTGGCCAAGTTGCAAGCAAAGCTTGTACTTAAAACTGTTGACATATTTAAAGATGATACTTTGAAGGTTTAATCAACACCAAGCTTTGATATTTTTGTTAAGGCTTTATTTCATAATGTCAAAAAATTGCAAACATATGCTTTATAGAGGAAAAGATATAAAACTTTGCATTGAATAGAATTTTATTAAAAATTAGAAAAAATTATAAATTGAATCTTATTATTTTTTATTTAAGATTTTTTTTAAAAAAAAATCAAGATTAACCATAAGATCTAAAAAATATCTTTTTGCTATCATAAATTTATTTTCAGCATAGTGTCATGTTTAAGAAAATTATTTTATTCTTCTAATAATTTGAACTAATTTTTAAAACTTCAAATATATCATTACAACACAAGTCATTAATTATGGCCAAGCTCATTCAAGCAGGTATTTGTGATGATTTATAATCAATACTACATATTGTCATTGAAAAAATAAGTTTTATTAAATGTCCTATTTAAATGCTTCTATATTAAATCAAACAAAGAACATATGACAAATTAATCAATAAAAAAATAATTGTTTTGGAAAAAAAACAGAAACAAGAACAAAAACAAACAAAAAAATAATAAATTTAAAAAATCAAAATAAGTATAAATAAATAAATAAATAAATAATAAGGTATTAATTGAAGACTTACTATCGACTGAAAATTTTTAAATAAAGTTTTTTCATTCATGTCAAAAATCATCTATTTCTTGATATTAAAATTATATTCAAGTAATTTTCTATCAAATAATTTTAAATTAATATTTGAATATATTTATATATTACAAATATTCATTAGAATTATTTATTTAAAATTATATATATATATATATATATCTATATTTATTTATTTTTAAAATTTTAAAAAATGTGAAAATGTATATTGGATTTGATAATTCATTTATAAATAATTTTTTTTGTTAACTTACTTTGAAAACCTGAATTCCATGGAATAAATATTCGAAATTCAAAATTAAAAGTAAACTGTATTTATGCAACTATAGAAAATTTTGATACTCAATATGTCTAACCTTTTTTGGCATTAAGATGTAAGAGAATTGCAGTTCGTTTTGGTAATTTTATGATTTTTAAAAATGATTTTTTTATATATATAAAAACTAAATCTAATCTTCCTAAAGTTCCTATCAACAACTATTTTGCAAACAACCCATTAATTATTATTTTTTTATTTTTTTATTTTTTATGATAAGTTTGACTCCTCTTTTCAATACTCATCAAATTATTGTACCAAAAACATTTCAAGTCTGACATGGTATGGTTGAAAGCATCATGCTTTCTTGGTAATCTACCACTACTTTAAGTGATCTTTAACAATAGAATTAAAATAATAAATCTTTACTATTCTAATATCAAGTTGTTAAAACCAATAAATTCTATGTCTTTCTTTTCCAAAATACCTCAAGTTTTGGTTTTGGCATCAGTTCAGAACTCCACTTGTCCACATCATGCTCAAAAGTAGGGTGCACAACCACCGTGGCTGTATAACATAAACTTTTTAGTGTGTGTAAATATATATATATATATATATTTATCAAACACAGTCATTATTATTCTCTTGGTTTGAATGAATCACTAGCCTCCAAAAGCAAACTAAAATAAATATAACACTGAAATAAATGCAAGCACAAGAATCTAATTTTAAATTTGTATATATACTTGTTACTGTGTGTATTTTTATTTATCGTTGGATAGATTAAAATGAAATTATGAAACATTTGACAATATCAATTGATGTAAAAGAAAACTTGATTGGCTTCTTGTATCCTCCTCTAATATGATTTCTTACTGAAAAATAAAACTTCACATTAGATAGCACTCTAGTAAGTATGTAATTCAATATTCATAAATCTCGAAAAAATATCACTAATTTAACATTTATATTAATTTGTGAAATACTTATAATAGTTGTGGTGTGTGATTTTGTTAAAATTCTGGATTACTATGATAATTGTCAAAGAATTTGAAATTAACATTTAAAAAAAAAAAAAAAAATCATTCATCTACTATTTAGTTTGAATTATATTTTACTTGGTTTGTAGAAGATTGCTAAGATTAATTACAAGCAATAGAATTATTAATGTATAAAGGGAACTTTATTGTGATAACATATGTAAGCTTAAGTTTCACAGTTTCATTATTTGGATTTTTTTTTTATTAAAAATATATGAACTTATTTAAGAAAATGACACCAATTTATGATTATGACAAGATTTATTTATTTGTATTTGTAATTACACAACGATTTCAGTAATAAATGTAATAATTATTTTTCTTCTCGACAGCCAACCTCCAAGGTTTAACACATTTTATATAATCGTGTGTATTTTACACACACAAAGGAATTTTCATTTTAATAATTGAAATATTGAAATGAATGAATCAACAAAATTTCAAAATTTCAAAAAAACTGGAATGAATCTGAATATTTCTAGATACTTATTATGCTTCTGATTTTTTATTTTGTTTATTCATTACTTCAAGTATAATGTAAGAGCATTTCTGTGTATTCTTGGTAATTTATTATTGAAATATAAAATTATTTGACGCAGAAAAGCATAAATTTTTGCCATCTAATCATGAAAACTCTGCATAAAAAACAAAAATAAAAACAAAGTATTGATCATTTGAAATTGATATAAAGTTTGTGTACATGTTAATAGAATGTCATGTTTAATGACATCAGGTTGTGTTTATTTATATATATATATATATATATATATACATACTGTGAGATATTTTTATTTTGCATTGTTTATTACCCAATGCCCAAAAGGATGAGCTATAATTATCATTCGCAAAAGTGATCACTTATCTCATATTCTAATTTTTCATATTCTAGTCATGCATAGTAAGTTAACAACCAAGCAATATTGATTTTTTGGGGTTTAAATGCTGTGGCTTCACATAAAATGTGTTATGCACACAATACTGCAAACATATTGTAGCCACCATTTAAGAAACCCCATTACAACCACATTATTATTTACTTTGTATTTCCTCCATACTTTTTAGACAGTTGAGTAAATCATATAATGCCCCACTTTGAATTTTTGTATGCTTATGTGGTAAGTTTGATTTTTTCTACACTGTTGTAATGAGAATCACCACCATATTTGAATTTCTTCATTGTATGGTAAAATTACACTTCAATTGAGAAAGAAACAATTTTGGGTAAACCTGTTGTCAACATCATTGGAAAACAAGATATTTTTTTAATGAAGTGGAACTTGAGTTTTCGTAAAAAAAAAAAAAAAAACAGTTGTGGAAGACACTTTGAAGGCAAAGGAGCAATCAAGTGCTTGATTTATTTAAATTTGTCCAGAATGCATACCATCCAATGTTATTTTAAGAATAAATGTGAATATAATTAATAGTTGCTTTATTCCTCAACCTATACAGATTCTGCACAACTGTTGAATTGATTTTTGTAAATTTGCAAGAAGTAAGCCAAATTATTTAGGACTATATCATGTACTCTATCATTCAAAGTACTCCATGTGATCCACCCTGTTTTGTTTAAAAAAAATAAATGTTGGGTTGCTTGTGGGTACATAAATGGTATGGAACAAGAAACATGGCAAAGATAATTAAATATGGTGAGGTTTGGGTTTCTTGCAGTCAAACATGAATGGTTGTGAAGAGAACCTTCAGAGATCATGAGATTTAAGGAAATGCTTAATTAAGGAAATTGGTAGAATATGCCACCCAAAGGATGCAACCAAACAGAATGTCTGGGTTCCATATACCATATGCATAATGGTCCATGTAAGAATGCACATTTCAAGGTCCTTTCTGTCAGACTCGTTTTAATAACAAATACAACATCTACAGACATATATAAACAGATATTACTGGGAAGATGGGAGAATAAAGAGATTTGTCTACCTTTTGAGCCCCACTGAGTGTGACATGTTAATAAACTACATTCACAGTCAAGCATCATGTGGGCACTCCACCTTTCAATATAAACTCATCCAATCACATTTCATTCTTACCATGATTTTAGAGATACATAATATAAATATTGGACTCTGAGTACGAGACCCTTCTTGGGTGTCTGCATATTATATTCATACACTGCTTTATGTTTGGGATATTTACACTCAAAATATAATATATTTCCTGACAGTGTGAGTACACACACAATCATCCTACCACATTCTTATTTTTGTTTTATTTTCATTACTGTGATGGTAATGTATGAATGACTTTGACTGTTAGTCATGATTGAAACCACTCTACCACCCATAATATGCATGCATATATACATATATAGATACACTCATAAATAAAACCATATATTCAAAAAATATATAAATACACAACCTTTTTTTTAATGCATAGAAGTATATATGTATTGCTGTGAATATTATCTACTCATGCATATTCTTTGATAAAATTTATATTTTTTAATCAAGAAAATGATTAATTTTAGAATAAATTTTATTGGCGAGTTCTTTGTGGGGCAAACAAACATTGGTTAATTTCTAGCAAAACTGACTCTTGACCAATTCTAAATGTCCAAAAATTCACCACTAAACCCACAGTGTTTGTAAGGGAAAGGTCTTTGTGCAAATAGTGTTCTACTGTTGGCCTGCATAGTCTGTTGCAAAACTTTGAATGCATACCATTCACATAATTACTAATATAAGCAACAGTGAAAGAATGATGGAGAATTCAGACAATATTTACCAAAATATTTATTAAATATGATATTTGGTTATATTTTTTCAGCATACTCTACTAGTTTAGAAAAACTACATTCATGCATTTCTTGGATATTATTTGTTATAATTTATTAAATTGAATTGTTTACCATCTTACTTCTGTGAAGAATTATGAGTAATTTTATAGGAAGAGACTAGAGTTTTCAAAATTCAATAAGAACTCGGATCATTGTATAGTTCTACCACACAAAAACTAACAGTGTGGATGAACGTCAGACGATTTATACAAACATCTATATTTTATTATTAATTTATTAATTTTGGGTTTTTAACACAGATATGAATTTTATTCATGGATTGGATTCAACGATGTTGAGTGCAGACACATAGTGAGTGAAAAGAATAGATTGTGTGTAAATAGGTGAACAGTGCGGATGTGGATGCACAAGACTCAAATTGAATGGAAAGATAGAAAAAAGATTCTAAATGCCAAGAAGTAATGAAGGAAATGTATTATATTACATAATCGTGGATTTCATAATCATGCCATATATATATATATATATATATATTTCTACAAATCTAAAATCTAGTACTAGAGACAAGTGCAGAATGGATGGACTTCATCCCCTGTGCCGAAGTGGGCCCCACTAATATGGGGGAGACAGTAGAGGGCGGGCGGGGAACCACCATTACCACCATTGCCAGGCACAGTGTTAGGAACAGTTGTAGAGAGAGAGAGAGAGCCAATGCAGACAGACTAGTCCGGTAAAGTGGAGACAGGTCAAACCCGAGCCCACACCTTCTGATGATGCACCCCCAGTCGGTATGCAGAAGAATTATAATAATAATAATATTAAATAATAAGAATCGAGTGCGGGGGCGGGGTGATCGCGTAGATGCAGACAAGTTCAGCAAATCACAAGTGCTGCTGCGGCAGGACTAAAGGGGATGGGGGTAAAGTGATTTTGAGTGGGGTTGAGTGAGTGAGTGGGGCTCCATGGCCAGGCTGGTGGCGATGCTCAGCCTGGCTGAAGGACTCACTGACTGACGGGTCTGTGCAATCCTGTCGGCACCGTTGCACGCGACGGGCCTAGCAGCAGCCGCAGTCGCAGCTTTTCTCGTGCCAAAATCGGCATTGCGAATTCCATAATTTACTAATTCAAACTGCGCCCCCCTAGGCAAGTCTTACCCCGCACGAAATGTCCCTCCCTGCTTTTTGTTTTGTTTTTTTTTTTTCGTTCTTTTCCATTTCCTTTCAATATGCAGTCAAATCTAAGGCTTATTTGGAACAGCCAGACCATGCTGCTAAAGCAACGGCTCTTCTGTGGATCCGCTTGAGCTTACCCCCGACCCCACCCTCCGTTGTTGTGTTTGCTCGGCGACGTGGCGCATCACCGTTTTTTGACTTGAGCAGGTCTATTCTTCCTCACGCTGAACAGCAATTACCGGTTGCTCCCAAAAGTTGCCAAGTGTGTGAGGCCCCACTCGTGCCAATTACATCAGGCATCTCACATCTAGGACGAGAGGTGCGTCAATCGGCAAGGTAAATGGCAAGCTCCCTGCCATGACTGAGCTGTTGGATGCCGTGAGAGGAGGTGTGAGTGTGGAGTTGTGGACTGGTGCAGATTGAAGCAGTCGGCTGAACTTGCTTGACTAGATCTCCATCCTCGTCGTTGTTCACGACTGTGAGATGTGACTTTGTCACTGTGTGAGTATGTCGGATTTTGGAAAGAGAGGCGCGATGATGATATGCGCAAATATTGGTGACGGAGATGGATGAGCTTGTATAAGGATTCAGGAAATGATGATAGCGAGGGCATTGCAATTTTGGTGTCGTTTGATAATATGGGAATGAGGTTGATAGTTGCAAATGAGGTTGATAGTTGCAAATGAGGTTGATAGTTGCAAATGAGGTGAAGGTGAAGTTACAAGAATGCTGGAGGATGTCTCATAGAAGTGAAGAGGCTACGATGAAGCAAAATCGTTTACACTCATAAATTGCTCTTGAGGGTTCGACGACAAGAGATCATTGAGGAGTCAGTTGGGACGTTGTTTGCCTCTCACCCCCCCCCCCTCCCCCCTCTCTCTCTCTCTCTCTCCCTCTCTCTCTCTCTCCCCCTCCCTCTCTTTGTCTCTGAATTCGTTGCTGTGATTAAGACACGCTGTGGGAGTGGTCCGCCTGCAATATGTGTGCGCTTCAACCTTCTTGTTGTGATGTTCATGAAGCGGGGAGACGGCTCGAGAATCTCAATGCGGTCATGAGTGGTGGACATGACCTAGGATCCTACCTCAACGAATTACGAGCTCAAGGGCAGTCACAATGCACGAATATATGGTTCAAGGGTGTCATTGCGTATCGGTGCCGCACTTGTCAATTGAATGATTCTAGGTATGGTTGTCCATCTCGTTTTTGGACCTCAACCCTCGTGAATTCATTAAGGTGTCTGTCGTCCGTGGGAACCCATAGAGAATGCTTATCGTACATCTGGACAAATTGGCGATTTCGCTAATCTTCGGGATCTGATTAGCTCGTAATGGATATCCTCCAGCGCACTATTTCAATTTCGGATATTATGTAAGGTTAGACAATGCGCACAACTTGGAAAACTATCAGGCGATCATTTGTTTGACTCCTATTTTGCTCTGTCTTCCTACGTGGCCATTGGTGAAATTTCTGGTGTCCTCCTAACCATTTAGTTGTATCGAAAGGTCCATACATCTCCTGTTCAATAATTCTCCTCGAAAATGAACCGAAACCTGCCATTACTTTTGCCAGTAACCATCAGTGTTGACCTTTTTTATTCGAATTTCGATTTCTGCCGATGTGGGTGGCATTTAGGTCCTTTCTTGCCCAGTTGCTCTTTTTTAAGAAATCAATGCGGTCGATTGCTCAAGTGCATGGGAGTTCAATAGCGTGGTAAAGTGAATTCAATCTGTGACCTTGTTGAGAGATTCATGGTCACTATTCCACATTTGTTCTGCGACTGGCAGCTGACATTGATTTCATAGACATCAGACCGACACTGCGTCGTGCGGTGTTTTTCGAGGAAAGGGATGTCCACTACACTCCTGATACCTTAGTTTGTGTGTCAATTAGGGCTAACGTGAGTATCGTTTTTAGCCTTTAGTTCAATGTCTGAGGATTCATCATTGCCTTCGGCCTCTTCTTGAACCTTTTACAATTATTACATATGATGATTAAAATTATAGCTGTGTATCAGCCATCAATGAATCTTAATGACACCACGTGATTTATGATTTCTCAGGCGCAACGACTGCTGATATAATGATAATGTTTTCTGTCTTGGTGTATTGGAATGTAGTGCGATATGTGTCGAGTGTTTCCAGAACGGCCGGCATCGGGATCACGACTATGGTACTCTACTCCATCATCCATCTTGCCATGTTGTGGACTATATGAGTTATCCGAGATCTTCTATTTCTGTCTATTACAATCCTGACTCACATGAGTTGAGTTAAATATAACTAAAATTATTTATTAGTTATTCATCTTCTCTTCATCTTCTCTTCTCTTCTTTCTTTCTTTGGTGATAACGGGATGTGTGCAGTTATGTACCACAGTGAATCTGGTGGATGCTGTGACTGCGGAGATCAGGCTGCATGGAAAGAATCAGGGTATGTTCAGATAGCATTGATGATCTTTAATAGTTTTGTGACTTAGGTTGAGGCAGTCCAGTGTATTACATCATTTGTTAGTAGTATTGATAGCTCCACAAATCTATTCTGGTAGTTGGCATTACTCTGACCGGCTGGATCCTGCTGCCAATCCTCTTCACGGAATTCAGCAGTTCAAAGAGCACAAGATGAATTGGAAAATTTGCAAGTTCCATATGTGTGCACCGTAAGCTATTGCAGGTTTTGTACGAACCATCAACGTGTGCGTGTGCTCGAGGCAAAAGTGAAAGAAGAGCTCTTGGATGCAACACATGATGTTGGTAGGTGTAGATTCATTCGCCGATTTCCATGCTGCTAATTTCGTCCTACATGTGACGAGACAGAAAATTTCAGAAATTGTTTGGTTGGTGTCATTCTTTCGATCTTATGGTGAACATGTTGGGTATGGACTGTGTAGGCCTGCTGGTCTAATGACCTTTCACAGTACTTTATATGATTTTGAGGCTATTTATTTGCAGTGCATTATGTGCTGAAGGAGCTACTAGCTTGGGTTTTGAAACTCAACGGCAAACAGCGTGATCTGCAAAGTCCATGTGCGAAAGGAACGTCCTTGGAGGTATCAATGGCCATGACTTACTTGGAGTGGTCACATCAGGTTAGTCTGTGTTGCTTATTCCGCACACTTTAATAACCAGTACACATACTCATTTTCTAATTTCAATAATGACTTGTCATCTGCCGGTAGCAATTTCAGTTTTACTGCTTACTGCATAGGCTTTATCCCCCGATGTTGTATTAGGCCAAAAAGTATCTAAGACATTTTTTTTCCGAAGATTTGTTTTGAAAATCATTACAACGACAGTCAATTTGAATAAATAAATTTCTTTGCGTTAATGACAGTGGCACGAATAATAAGAACTTGACTAAATTTAATTTAAGCAATTTGCAAGGCATACTAATTAGTCAAGGCCAGGGTGGATCAGTGATAACATGTTACTGAACAAAAAATTGCATACCTATATTTGTGTAATCCATGATTAAAAAATGCGAAATAAAAAGAATCATGCATTTTAAAACGTGAAAATATGTTTGTAAAACTGATTGGGTTTAAATAATAGTTTCAGTTATAAATGTAATATTCTCACATTGATTGACCCCTTAAAATATCAATCTGAGGGTAACTTGGAAGGTTATGGCTCTTACAGTAATTGAGAAACTAAGATAAACGATGTACTTCTGGGACTTTATACATCTAGGTAATGCAATTATATCCATTCCTCATGAAGGAAAAAAAAGGAGTTGCGTTGCTTACTGTATTTTTTAGAGAATTATTATTTGTAATAGCATCAAGAATTTCAAGGATGCATGTGAAATGTAGTTTTCAAAACTACACCAGATTATAAATTGTTTTAATAGAGGGGGATAAATGGTTTATTTCAGTTCCTAAGAACAACTGTGGTATCCTTGCTGCACGACAGGTCTGTACTGTAGATGCGTTGCGGGGCATAATTTGCAATGACATAATTGAGTATAAATTACCATATCAGGTATGTAAGTTTGTTTATCCTTTCGTTTTTTGTTCACTTTGGGAAGCGTGTATGCTTTCGTTGGTCCTTGAAAACAGCATTGTAAGTCATTCTACAGGAGAATATATATGGGTGATAACTTGTCATTATCAGAGCCCAAGGGCAGTTTTCAATTATTCTGCCGGTCCAGTACAGATTTGTTCTGAAAGGGAAATTAAGTATCATCTGGAATCGCATGAAATTTGGTCAGTAAGCAGGTGGTATTTGTTAGTGTGCTATCTGCAGTGCAGAGGATCTCGCATGTTCTGAGGGATGGTCGCAATTTTGACATCACTGATGTTAACTCTCATCTGAAGTTTGCCTACTGATTGCAGAACAATAATCTATCATCGCCACTGAACATCTTGTTGGACTGCTTAGGGTGGATGCCTGAGAAACTTATTGAAGCGGTACGGTTGCGTAAACTTGAGTACTGGCACCTTAGAACTTTTTATAAGAGCACAGAAGCATAACATAGTTTCATAGAATTGTCTCTTGTGTTCATACTTCAAATGCATCTGGTTTAGATATTAATTCCGCTGAAAGCTGCAATCAGCAGTTCTTTTGTTAAGAACCTCATTCGGTGGATTTGTCACTACTTGTTATGTTGGAGAGGCTTTGATCATTCTCCAGCAAAATCTGTTCTAAGATAATTGTAGTACTCGCGTCTGGTGGGACCCAAAAGCAACAGTTTCTCATTGTTGTTCTAATTCAGCTATGTTGTGTATCAATTTGCAGGAGACTACTTTGATTTTACAACTATTGTACCAAAATGAATTTAAGTACAATTTCTTAAATCATTTTAGAGGGAAATACGAGGAAATGGTTATTCTTGCTATCGAAAACCAAGCCTATATGAAGAATTACAAGCACCTTGATTCCAACTTAGACAGAGGTATGCGATTCACTCCTTTACTGTTACATGAGGCTGACGGGTATTGTGTTCTGCAAAGACCATGTATATACAGTTAGGGCCTCCCAAGAGTAATGCGGAGTTTACTTAAGTCCTCAACTGCCGTAGCTCGAAATCTGTATGGAATAGGCTAGGACTTACAGTCAAATGCGGTATTTATTTCTTGAATGTTTTTCTATTTTTCAGGTCTGTCATAAAATGCGAAACACACTAAGCCCTTGGTTGGGTCAGCTGATTCAATTGGATATGACATGCATCGATTTGATGTTGAATCTATCTGTTAGTGCACTTGTATTCCAACTTTTATATTGGGAAGTATTGACTGGTGCAAGTTGGATGTCTTGCAGTAATGGTGCAGTTATTTAATGATCCAAAAATAACCCCTAATCTTATTAACGATTATAATTTACTCGAGTTATTTATTGGAGTCTTCTCCAAAGTTATCAATTTTGCTGCCCAAAAGTACTTATTCCACTTAAATTTGTTTAATTTGATTTTCTTTTATATATATTTAACCGCACTGGACGTGAGAACTGTCAGTTGCAGCGCTAAGAAAACATGATTGCCTACCATTTTAAGGAAGGAATTTGATGTAGAAGAGGCATTTGCTTTGAAATTTGTTGAAACTATTATTTTCTTCATGAATTATGCACTTCAGAGATGTATTCAATGGAACTTGATGGAATTATAATCTTCACTGCATTGCAGATTTTTCTTTCAATTAAAGTTCTGACAGGAATTAAATATTGTTCCTTTTATGCAGTTTATTTTGAAAATAACTCTAATCTGTACTTTCTTTTTTTTGTTGCTTTGCAATTTAATCCAGTGACGAAGAAATTGTCAGTGTTAAGCATGATGCTATCAAATGCAAGGTGTGCACTATTATCCACTCAAAAGTGTAGCTTTTGAATGGTCAAATGTTGCTCTTGAATAGGTCCTTTAAAGAGCAAGCAGAACAGTGTTGTTAGCCAGATTCTATGTAACTATCTGACTAACAACACTAATTTGTTGATTTGTTGCTTCTAGCATTATTCAACGGAAAGGTATAGCAGTTTTCGGCTATTAAAAGAATCACAATTTTCTTATTTGGAGCGTTTCTTGTTGTGGGTTTAATTAGAAGTGGTGTAGACTGGAGTTTTGGAAACTGATCCTCGAGTCGTAGAATGTTTGAAAATATTCTGTAATTTATACACTGCATTGTTGAAGAATCTGATCTTTCTTTTTGTACTTGTCAATTTGATCAGGTCTACCTCCGACCACAGGGTGATTTGCGGTTGATCGTTTCACATGGAAATACTGCTATCCATTTGCTAAAAGATCAACCTCAACTTTTTCGAATTCTTCTTGACATGATAGCCAAGTTGCAGGTTTGCAAGTGGAAATAACATAAGTTGAAGCGGTTTATGCTGCTTATTTTTAAGTTACATAAGTGTCTTCTGTGAGACATTTACAAATAATATTAGTCTCATTTTCTAATGTTGGAACATCAGAAAAAGGAAACGATTCTTGAGCAACCTCCGCAGTTAAGTGTTTGTGGAGGATTCAGTAATTCGATGCTTTGTTAAAAGCCTTGCAGAATTTTGCGTTTGCTCACTAGAATATTGGTTCATGTTTGCAGTGGATGAATTCATATTGTTATGAGGGAGACGACGTGTTTGAAAATTCTTGGACTCTTGCTATCCAACTCGAGGTTAGCAACTTATGGAGTCTTCAAAACTACTTGTCTCTGTTGGATGTTTATGTTCCTTCTGCAATCTTTGAACTCTTTGTCCTGTAGCAGAAGATTTGTTTTTGAAAATAATGTGACAATTTCATTTGTGTCGGTTTTACTTACGCCACTGCATTATTGAAGTTCATACTGACTTCAATTACATCTACCTGGCGTTAATGTGTGTTTTTATATGTAAATGTGGTATGATAGATATGTCTAGACCCTGTTAGTTTAAGGTTCTGGTCTTGACACCTACCAGTCGCCTTGGTCGGAACAAGCGTGAGATTTTACAAATTAGCTGAGCTATGGTTTGTGTATAGTTTTATTTATTTATTTATTTATTTATAATATATTTTAGGCTTCTCTAAACTGTAGGTGTGCATGTCCTAAATCTTTTGATCATATGATACTATCTCAAGCCGAATCTTGGGATTTCATTCCTATTGCAGATGAACAGTATGGCAATTATTTTTCAGCTCATCTCACGCTGCTATCAAGATCCCTCAACCTCTAAAAATACTCTTGTGACAGCAGCTCAATATACACTAAACGCCCTGAAGCAGTATCTGAATCAGGTACGTCGCTTGCACGGGTGCGTCTTTGAAGACTTCATTGTTTGTCTAATCTCATTCTGTGTTTTTGTCAGTGTGGATAGGAATAATACACATTAGCTTTACAAGGGTTGTCCCAGTTACCTTCTTAACGTATCTATACTACGTGAGCGTTTAGTGATAACCATGTTCGAGCCCTGTCATGGTTTTGTAGGATACTTATTGTTGTGGTGGCAAAGTGGAACGTAACTTTACCTTCCGCTACGCTTGTGTTGGAATACAATATTAAAATGGCATGTGTGAATTGTCTGCAGGATAAGAGCATTTTCGAAGAGCAATTTTACACTTGGCCACCCAGTTATAATGATACGGTTTCAATTCATATACCGCTCCACAGGACGTTAAGTGCAATTCTTCAGAAAATTGTGCTCTTACCTTGGAGTGATCATGATAGGGGCTTTCTTTCTGTGCTCTTGCCTCTTGATTGTTATGAAAGAGACAAACTCACGAAGGATGAGGTAACGCTATTATTTCCTCTTATTTTTTGAGCCTGGAAGTTTTCATATCTTTTCGTCTTTAGCTAAGCTAATTGCGTTGAGAGTTTTCTTTGTTGTTATTGCAAAGCATTGACTGTTACTTGCTTCGTCCTATATAAGACTTTTATCCCCGTGCGTGGATGTATCATAAACACACGTCTACACATGGAATCTGATGAGTTGGTCTCATAAATAATTCGAAGGCCTCTGTGCTAGCTTTCCTGCCCCATTATGTACAAAACACGGATTGGTGGTTCCATATATCGATTAATCAGATTGTCTATATGCAGCCCTAAGATGTTTGTTTGTATGTAAGGTAGGGTGTGAACTCATAACATTGTTGCAACTTCGGCAACAAGCCTTTTCTAATGTCCATTCTGCAGGTGCTGCGCCTCATGGAGCATCCTCTACGCATATTAGTTTGGATGGCACAGGTTTGGTGGCTACATTTTAGCCTATTGTTTCTTGTTTGTCGTCAGTGATGGACAGCATTGATAGGCACAAATCATACTTCTATACATCTGCTATGTGTAAATTTCTGCAAATTTTTTTATATTTCGATACTGATCCTGAAGTTAAAGGTGTTTCACAATTGAATGTTGATCGTTGTTCTGTGACAACTTCGGGATTTGAAAGTCGATAAAATTTCCTTTTCTGTAAGTTTATTCAGTACTCGAATGTTGTATGTCTCTTAACAGTTTTTAACCTTAACGGAACATATGTATGTAGATTCGTGCGGACAAGTGGCGAAAAACGTCGGAGGAGTTTTCCCGACTTGAGCTTATTTATAGGGGGAGTTTTTGGCATGATCAGTAAGAGGATTTTATTTTATTTTTATAAATGTTCAAATCTGCTTCTTCTTCTTCTTCTTCTTCTTCTCATTATAATTATTACTGAACTTTTTGGACTTCTGGTAAAAATGCTACCGCACGATAATCTTAGGTGCATCGAACATTAACGTCTCTAATACGGGTCAGTCTGTCTGTTGTCATGCTGATTACTGCACTTAAACTGGTGTTCAGTAGCTAAAACTGATTATTTTGTAATACAAATTCACATCTTCTCTAACTGAAGCAATGAATTCGTGCTTCAGGTCAATGGACATGGACGTATTACTTTTACAATTTTGCACTGTTGCTCTCGACAACATGGAAGAGACAATCTTCATAAAGATAGCTGAGCAGTTCAATGTACTGAATGGAATACCCATCTTGTCGCTGAGTTCTGGGCTGACCATGCAGAAGACTATTCATACACTGTCATGTCGTAGAGTAGAGCAACAACTTTGCCAGAAATGCTTCTAGGATATTAATTTTTTTTTTTACTGACGGAAAAAACATCTACAAGAAAGTTCCTGATTGTGGCTTTTCCTCTAATGCGGTGGTAAACCTCATTAATATTGAAAGGATTATCTCTGATTAGTAGACCTTGGAGCAGCTACTATTGATTTAGTCGCATGTGTAATTTGAAGACTGGTTAGAAATTCTCCAAATTGATTTATTTTGGCACGTTTGTCTAAATGAAACAGTTCAAGGAAATGGCCACAACGCGTTTGACTCCCACAGGGGACCGTCGACCGGCAGACTATTCTCTCTTGCAGGATTTCATGCGATTAATTTTGCTGGTATTTTTTCTACAATTGTGAATATCTGTAGCCAGCAATTGTTCTTTTGTTCTTGCCTCTTCTCAGATTTTTTTTTTTGTTTTCTTGGAACTTATTTTCGCCTATATTGAACTCTTGTACGTCATTTAAAGTCTTTAACACTGAAATTTCTGGTTGATTAATTATTGCTTTTGTGTTAGTTGAGTTTGTATGATTGTCGTCTCTCTTTCTTTATTTTCACAAGAATTTTCCCTTTATTCATTCCTAAATTGCTCAGGTATTATTGCACAGGTATAATTTTAGTCAACCACTCGCTCTTTTAGGCGTTTTGGTTAAGTTCAAGCAATGCTGCCATTTTATTAAGTCCGTATATACTAAATTATCGTCACAGTAGTGTGCCTTGCTGCTTCGTTTGTGGAAAATGCATTAAACCATCCTCGTTATTGCTCTTTGAATCTGTAGATTGTGCGTGAGCGCCGCAACTTGGGGAAGACACACTCAGACATTGTGCAAGATAAATGTCTGCAGTATGATGTTATACAATGGCTGTGTGTTCGTGACCAAACTTACTCTCAGGTAGGTCATCTATGAGTTTCATACATTTAAAAAGATCTTGTAATATTTGTCGGGCTGAATTTTGGATGATTGTAAAATTTACCATGGTATACTATTAATTTTATCTTTTCTTCAAACTGTTATTTTGTACAACTGCTACGATTTCCAATACGTGGTTTCAGATTTGTCGTGCTCTGAGCGCGATCCCCGTGGACCATCGCAGACTGACAACTGTGTTGGAAAGAGTAGCTATCTATCATGAGCCTAAGGTATATTTCTATTCGCTTGATATTTACTGTATGCAAATAAGTGGATATGGACAATAAATAAATACTTGATTCTGTGCTAGTGTTCAACATATTTGAGATTTTCTATGTCTTCGCAACAATTTAGGTAGGATTGATAACAATCTACTTTATGACATAGAGCATGTTCAACATCAGAATGTACATTCTACACAGGGATACTTCTGCACAAAAAGGTGTCTTACAAAAACCTTCGGGATGACAGGTTGCTGATCGAGGGTATTATCAACTGAAATCCGAATATTGGCATGAGTTTGATCCTTTGTTTGCTCACTACTATCACAGCGAGTTGGAGGATGCCGAGGTGGATGGCTTTTCCTTCTGATGATTATTACAGTCAGAAAAGCAATCATGGAAGAATTGTAGGATTTGACCATTTTTCTAGTTCTCGCTATCAGCAGAGAGTTGAGCATCAGCGTGAAGGGCGTCTTTGCGATGTGATTTTAAGGTTTAATGATAAAATTTATGTAAAAACGCAGTTTTAGTGCGAAAAGAAAGCACTGACATCACGCGAGTTCTTGTAACTTTCAGGATCGAGCGGTGAAAGTTGGGAAGCTTGAGCATTACTGGCGGATTAAAGCACCACCAGTTGCTGAAGCACCATTTGACCGCCTTTCTAGTCTCCTCCACACAAAGGTATCAGATGTTTTAAATATCTTCCTCAAATTTTAATATTTTGAACTACTTGCATGTTTGCAGTGTCTTGATTCCATGACTTTGGTTTGGATGAATTCGCATAGCATGCGGCATTCACGATGTTCGTCTTATTGACAATCGATTGAGTGGGGATTATATGTCAGGCCTGTCATCTGTTTCTGCTGAATGTATTAGACGAGGTGAGATCTTTAGTTCAACGGGACATCACAGCGACGGCTGGTGAATCTTTGGGTGTAACTTCGTTGCAAATGATGTCAGTTTTAGTGTCCGATTCACGGGGCAACATGAGGTTAGTGATAGTGATTTATTTCACATGATTCGTCTGCTCTTATTGCTACATTGTTATTACCGTTATGGGAAGAGTAGGCTGATGTAATAGCATAAACCTGTGCATGAGGTAGAATTTTCAGAGATACTTCTAGCCTTACCTTCACTCGCTCAAGGACATTCCGCTTTCAAATAGGTAGCACAAAGAGCTATATTATTGAAGGATTGTATCCAATTTTGAGATTCCATTGTAAATCCACGCACGTAAATGGAGGTCTTGAACACAAGCAGGGCCGCTCTTGTAGCAAAGTCATATCTTTCAAGGCCTTGCAGGTAGTATTGAAGAAGGTGCCAACATAACACCTTAATAATTTGATTCAGATAGATGTGACTCGGGTTGCAGGAATGATGCTTCAAAGGTTCAATCACCAGAGGGAATACAGGAGGATTTTCCTTCACAGGACATTGCTACAAACGTTCATGTTCAGATTCGAAAGGATTGTGGTAATCGAGCTCCAGATGGAATGCCTTTGAGCATCCATGAGATGTTACAGGATTTAATCCAAGCTAATCATTGCTCACGTACGTAATTCCTAAGTCAAGTACTGGAACAGTAACTATTTTTCTAATTTACTCATTTGTCTTGCAACCATAACTTGTATGATGTCAAGTTTATTTAATCAGATGCGTTTAATTAATTAATTAATTATAATATTTTTAATATATTTTAATATTTTAATTTAAATTTGTATTCTTTGTTAGTTGGATGTTCAGCTGTTTTCACCCTCAGTTGCCTCGATATATTCAACCCTGATCATGACTTCGTGGCATGTGGCAGGCTTGGTGGACTCTGTCAATCATGTTCTTGAACTCCTTTGTCTTTCGACCGGTGAAAAGACACTTGCTGCAGAGGTAATTCGCTCGCAAAACCTGACGAATTTTGTGAGTTACTTTGCACTATAACCTCTGGTTGAACTTTTTCTCGATACATCTAAATACATTTTGATCCATAGCATTTGTTTTGCTGAGTAACTACTTCTGAATGTTCGTTCGGTGAGTACCTGGAGGCTAAAGGTTGTGGTTGAAGTTGTGAATGGTTCTGTCCCCTGCAGATCGACTCCCAAGGCGCAGAGGATATGCAGCGAAAACTACGGAAAGGACAGCGTCAAAAACAAATTTTGGAGGAGTTTGCTGCGAAGTGAGTACTTAGTCTGGAAATTCAACTTTATCTGTTATACTCCATTTCATTTCTGATATGTTCATCGGTGAATAGTTTGGGTCATAACAAGTTGAATAGTCTTTAAGCATCAAAGTAAGTGTGCAGCTTAAATTGCTAATGGACAAATTACAACCATGAAAGTAACCAATTTCTTTGAAAGGTTAATTATATCACTACATTTTTTTATTTTATTTTATTTTATTTTATTTTTGGCGTGTCATTTTTTCGGTGGCAATCAAACTCATCTGATTAATCATAGCAGTCTGAACAGCCATTTTAGTATCTGTCTACCGTCTGGGGTTGCCTTACTTCCCGCTCATGTGGCTAATGACGGATACCTCATGCAGGCGGAAGGCTTTCATGGAACTTCACGATAACAGCGGTGACGATGATGGGTCTGAAGATGAAGCCGAGCTGGAATTCTCCAACACAGCTGGGAAATCCTCCGCTTGTGAAATCAACGGTATTTCTACCTTTGAAACAATCACAGAAACTGATTCTAATGTTGCCTACATGGCAATGGACGCGTCTTTTGAGACCAGTGAATGTGTGCTTTGCAAAAGGAAGGTATGTGATGCTCACCATGTGGCCTTAAGTTTCATCAAAATTTGTTCATAAAGCGTCTATTGAGAATTCTGGATATGATTATTACTTTTTAGACCTAAGGATTTCGGTTCTTTTCTACGTACAGATCTTCGTTAATTGTAAGCACAATGAGAAACTAACATGCGGGGTTAACTAACACAGAAACTTAACACATAGTCAAAACTCAAGAGGTAACAATGTTCGGTTACTCTAAACGAAAGTCATAAAAAATTAAATTTGACAGAGAATTTGTGAACAGTTTGACAGAAAATTTTGAATGGTATTTCAGAAAGATGACCAGAATTCTTCAACGTGCTGGATTGCTTTAGTTCAGCATTATAATTTCCCATGCCAGATGTTGGAAAGAGGGCTGACCGTTGTGAAAGACAGCGAAACTAGTCCTGTTCCTACTTCCCATCAATTACACGGAGTTAAATTAAGTGATGTAGGCCAGGATCAGCTGGTTACTATAGGGTGTCTTGATGGCATTACAAATGAAGCTACCACAATCGATTTTTCTACTTATGAGCATGTTCAATGCTGCGGACACAAGGTACTGATGACCTCCTCCTCATTTCACACTTTTCATTCAAATCTTTTTGTAACCAGGGTACTGGATAGGTAATACCTTTGGTTATACCATACTATTAAGTCATTTAAAGCTTCCTTTCACAAACCAGATGCATTTTGATTGCTTCCAAGGCCACATGAAGACTCTTCGCTTAAATCATCATCAAGGTGTGTTATCTGAGATGCTCTATTAAGTACCCTTGTCGAACTCATAAACAACACAAGATAGAACTGAAGCTTGTTTTTAGCTCATATTGGAATAACAATAAGTGCATGCGTTCTTACGTGTCTATTCACAAATGAACCCTTGCACTTTGTGTCACCACGCAATGAGTTTTTGTTTGTGGTGGAATCAAAATGTTTGATCATAGTTATTAGCCTTCGTTCTTGGTCTCTAATGGGCAATTGCTCAGAATCAGTGCTGTGTCTGTAAACTCATCATATATGCAGGCATTACTACTCAACTCTTGATGCGAACAGCCGATTAAATATTCTGTGGTGCATGTAATAAGCCTTTTAGCACAGAATGTTTTGTCTAGGGTGCATACGATCCGTACACATTGATGTGTCAATGACTTGTAATCTCAGGAAATGGTGTTGTAGACCCTTTAATGGGAGAATTCTCCTGTCCTACATGCCGGCGCTTAGCAAATGTACTTCTACCAGATGTGGATGCATCCCTTTCAACCAGAAAACTTGAAATGCACGAGGACGGAAAAAGTGCTGATGATACAGAAAAGTATTGGAGCTGGTTCTGGGAATCCAACGAGAATCTAAAACTCGCTGTTGAGAATTTCTGTTGTCCGGTATGCTGATAAAATTCGTTTTTTTATTGTTTGTGCATAGACAGCTTAATTAATATGTACTTTTGGCATTTTCATTATCTTCATCCTCGATCACTAAATAATTGCATCTGCAAACTTAACAAGAGGAGTTGTAGGTGTTGAATTTGTATTGGGTTAAGATGTTCTTAGGAATGAATCGAATAGTTCGCAAGCCCCACTGTTTGGGCAATTCTGATGGAACTCTATAGGTATTTATTGAGATTGTGTTGGCCTTGGGATTTAGGTGTTGAGAATACAAAAGAACTCTCCATACTCAAACTCCAATTCGCCAAGTAGGTTCAAACTATCTCAGGTAAGCTCGAAGAGTTCTTTTTTGTTTGAAATGTTTTAGTGCAAATTCTATTGTTGTAAAAAGATTGCGCCATTCAGATGCCAGATCTGCCTTAGCGATTGTTAGTCATTTAGATTTTGAGGCACATTCAAGGCTCTTTTTTTTCGTGGTCTTTTAGAGCTTCGAGCTGATTAATGGGGCTTTTTTAAGAATTGGTAATTTAAACCTTGAGAATTGATTATTGAACTTCATTACCTGTTGGACTTCTCTAATTTAATGCCATAAACTTGGAAACTTTTGTTGCATGAAGGCTCTATGGGAAAGGTTCGCTCTAAATGTTGTTCATTGCGAAGTGGGAACTCGAGATGGTAATTTGAATGGCCAAACAGCGTCATCGTCTTCAGCACCAATCAAGCTTCCCTGTGTATTTACTTGGGGAGGAGATCCTGCTCATTGGATAGCTCTGCGTGATTTGGGAAGACTAGCCATACTCTCCAACACCTTGCCTGGTGCAGGTAAGAAGTTTACAAACGGAGCTTTGTGCTGCCGATTTAGCGTTTGAATACCATGGAACTGCATTAGCGACTATGTTGCACCTCAGTGTTTCGATTCTTTTGTTTTGATAATTTGTGCATTGTTTTTTATTTCAACATATCATTTTGTAAGTTTGCTCGTTTTGGTGAATCTCTAAAATGTTAACTCGTTTAGTGTGTGATTCTGACAAGAGATCAATTTTTCTTTTTTGATTCATTCGGCTTCTGCACTGAAATAACATATTAGAGGAGTAGTAAGATTCGCCGGATGTAACATTTTTAGTCCTAAGTTGTATGTAGATGCTAATCTTTCCGAAGCATTTTACTGGGTTAGATAATTTCTTCCCAAGTATTGTACAATCTGTGACTTTTCATTCTCCACTCTGTCTTTCATTAGTGGAACTTCACTGGATCGCTCTTAGGTTCTATATTCGATGTCGCATACTGTCGCACTTTTTACCAGTGTTTCAAGTTCTGTCCAACCGTTATCCACGACCGAACATGGTATATGTGGGAAACTGACCATGATCTGTTTTGCCAGTGGTAGAGCGAGGTCTTGTGTTGCGGAAGCTAAGGGAAAGCCTTGGATTACCTGCCCGTAGAGCGTCGTTGCCCGAGTCAGATACATGCACAGAGTCTTCACTCGTTTGGAGGAATGACCTTGAGAAAATTCTCCAAGAAATATTTCCCCGGAATTCACTCGATTTCGAAGAACCGTCTTATCCTCTACTACTGGAGGATCTGTCATCCGATGTTCAAGACTGCCGGGATGTGGGTATCATTTCAAAGGAAAATTCAGGGTCTTCTCTTACTTCACGTCTTGTATCTAAGCAAGAAACGGAATCGAAAGCATGTAGAAATATACCTCCAATTCGCAGTGCGCTCCATGAGGGGAACGAAGACAGCAACTTTGTCGATCATAAAACTGGTTGTATGCATCATAGTGGGTTAAGTGCTCCGGATCCTCTTTCCCTTGATCTTCAACAAAAGCATGAGATTAGATTTGAGGATGCAAAACTTGAGAGTAGACTCAGAGAAGAAACCATGAACAGTTCTGGCCAGCTATGTTATTCAGAGCAGGACCAAGGCAACGGCCTAGCTCAGGAGAAGCAAAGCACATGGATACCTGATGTCCTGAAATATGGTGTTCTCACAGCCGATCCCTTCAAACTCCTTACCATAATGTTGATTGTGAGCAACCTCCTTACCAACACTTTTTGTCTGTTTAGAATTATTTCGTACATTTTATTTTAACTGAAATTCTTGTGGAAACTGACGTTTTGTTTTATGAAACTATTACATTAATTATTTCCTGAGTCACTTGTTCGAAACATGTTTAAATGCTCATCTTGATAACGTCTAATCGAATCTTAAATCTGTGATATTCAGATCTTTAATGGACAGCTTGGTAGGAGTGCCTTGCTTTCCATGGTGAAGTTTGCATACACTGTTGCGATTCTGCAGACACAAATGGCAGTCACTGAGCTAGATGCTGAAGGTCCTGAGATGGAGAGCCTTGTACAAAGGGCTTGTCTCCCATTTTTGCGGAGAGCTGCCATACTGGTATTCTATCTCACCCCTTCCTATGTGGCGCTTTTGTCCAGAATGAAGTGCTCGGTCTAAAATCATCGGGAGCAGAAGTTGCTCGTGTGAATATTTTAGTTCAAACTGGTCGCGAAATTTGATTTTGCTGGTATTAGTTTTTGCATCATGATCGCAACATACACACATGTTATCACGCGAAATACATCCAGATCTGAGGACGGCTTCTGATAAGTTGTGTTTAACTACAAGGTACAAGTAATCGTGCGAGAGGATCTTAAAGGACATGGATTATCCGGTATGCACCATTGCTGACTTTCAAAATATGCTACAATGGGGTAGTCAGTTATTGTGGTCTGATGCGTGCTCATCATCCGAATTGAAAGCTTCTCATTCTGATTGTAATTTGAAGGTGTATTTTTGTTATGGCGTGGTTAACAGAGGCGAATCTAAATTACGAAGTTTTTACGTTTTTCAGGGACAAAAGTCATGGATTTTCGCAGTTTGCAATTGGCCTTGCAACTTCCAGACTGCTCTGAAATTTTGCAACCTCACGGGAATGGTAACTAGCAGTACCACCAGCTTTTATTTATTTGTTTATATGTTTTTCCTTTACTTTTACTTTAAAAAAATTATATATGAGATGCGAACACATGGAACTGATGTTGATTCCAACCAGCTATTCTCGCGTATTCTGATTCCTTTTGTGATATTTACGGTTAACTATTTTCCACTTCTCTCCGTTTAAGAATATCAGTAGAAGTTGATTACAGTTGAGACCATGGGTACTTATGTACATTTATTGATGATTGTTTTACTAGCTATTGGTAAACCTGTTGGGTGATCAAAACATTATTGTGAAAAAAAATACAGGATCATGGAACACGTTGGCGACTTATTTGCCTTTCCTCCATAATCGTGTAAGTTGGAATTTGTATTACATCTGTGGAAGTTGCATCTACCTGACGTGAAGTCTTTCTTAAGGAGGAATGTGACCAATTATTCTCTTCAAAATTAATATAGACGAAAGGTGTAGAATACTACCTCAAAATGGTCATCAGTTCTCTGAAATATAGTTTAGTGGTTTGGATCTTTCTGTTTCCTACAGGTTTCTAAAACGTTCACCTTTAAGCTGCGAAAAGTTCCTCTTCAGGCACTGCTTCACAAACTGCCCAGCGTATTTCAGGTACTTGATTGAACTAAAACATCAAGCATTGTGAGGGTACTCCAATTTATGCTATATGCCAACAAAGATTTAACCACAGTCTTCAAGATTTTGTTTGTTTTTTCGATTTACGTACAGAGAAGGTTTGAGAATATACGCCTAGCTTTCAATCTGCTGCATGTGATATTTTGGAAGTCCTGAAGACAATTGATGCATGTTAGAAAATAGCTAATGACGAATGTGAAGTGTTTGAATGTAGTTGGATTACAGCAGGTGTGTTGAAACCAATTATCTTTGTACTGAGGCTACAGTTGTCGCTATCAATTTGTTCAGGAGTTACTACTGGTGAACATTCACAACAAGAGAATATGCGACCATTGTGGGGAAATGCCTGCGTGAGTCTTTTCGCAAACTTTTCTTCTGTTAGTACTGTGTACTCCAGAGCACGTTTTCGAAACGTCTTCGGTCGATTGCGATTATGTATCTTTTTAGATTGGATGCACCTCTTCGCCTCCAATCCACCAGCCAAACAATCGCGTGTTGTCTATGCAGGGATCCTGCAATATGCCTTATTTGTGGAATGCTATTATGTTGTGGGACTGAGTGCTGCAGAGAAAATGGAATGGGAGAATGTTCTGCACATGCAGCTAAAGGTGTTTCCTTACGGACCTCTTGAGATCATGGTTCATTAGACAAATTAACTTTTAATATTTGTGAATGGCGTCAGAATTATTATGGTCAAATTATTTTTCTAGATGACCTGCTAACATTAATACCTCGTTTCGAGTTCATGATATAGAATCAGCTGGTGTCGGAATATTTCTGTTGCTTCGTTCCACTCAACTTCTACTGCTTCGCAACAATCGATCCTGCATGGGACTCTCGCTGTACTTGGACATCCATGGCGAGGTTAGAAACCGAGCTCTGTGTTCTTGTCTTTTTTATTTCTTTGTTGATTAAAATAAACTTAGAATAAAGTTATCAATTCTTTCTTCGTTGTCTTCTACTTTGACCGTCATTTTTCAGTCTTGTCAGTTTATATTTTACCCGAATGTCTACTTTTCTGGTACTGAAATGTGCTGATGGTGGTGTGTTCAAGCCTGCGCAGGAAGACCTTTACTTAAGGAGAAGCCAATTACTGTTCCTCAGCGATCTACGGTTGAATGAGGTAACCGTTCAATGGGTGCATCCTGAGCAGAATTTAGAGTCGTGGCACTCTCAACTTCTTTTATAATTGTGCTTGAAAGACGCGTGGCACTTCGTCTCGAAGACACATAAACCTCCCTATATTTTACCATCGTTTGTAAATACTGCAGGATTTTCTCTCTACTTCTTTACTTGTGCAAATTTAAGTTACCCCTACACCATTTTAAAGACCTATCATTTGCAGGTGCAACGACTTTGGATGACAGCAGCTTTCGACTACGACTCGTACATACTTCGCAACTCTCAATCAAGACCTAAAGTCTATTGAGCTCCATCTGTTCTTATTACTTATCGATTCCATACATGTTATCTACACTAGAGAATGTCAGGTTTTGATACCATGAGTCCATAAATTTGGCGAGAACTAATACACAGAGATGTCCCCGTTAGCGGATTTTACGGCACTGTTTCCTGTTCGCCTTGTAAGAGGCAACTGTTTTTCCAACAGAAAGTCTCGTCGAATAGGTGGTTACATTCTTTTAGCACATATCAGAATTTGTAATCAAAGTTTCTCAAGCCTCAGTAATCAGGACTTGCTACTAAGGCGTAGGCAAGTGTGAGCAGAGTCAACCCTTGTGGTGAGGACGGTTTCGTAATTGGCTTAACAATTTTGAACCTCGAACCAATCTCTGTCCTGATTACTTCTTTTTACATTTTTAATGTAATTTTTTTGGGTTCATGTTGTCTGTATAAAAGTGATATATAAACACCCGAAATATGAAATAAGAGTTAGGTTTTCAATAAACCTAATTCCCATGCTAACAAATCTTTTAAAGTATGGTCATCACTTTAACTGGGAAATAATTACAAAGCCTACATATAGAAAGTAAAAAAAAATCATAATTCAAAATCTTAATGAATATGACAAAAATAATAAATATATATATATATATATATATATATATGAAAAAATGCTAGAATGGCCCACCCATTTACTAAATTGATCCACCCTATTGTGAAGAATGAAAGGAATGAGGGGTTGGAATGAAAGTTAGAAACATGAGAAGGAGAATGATTGGGGTTGGGATGGAGAAGGCAAGAAACAAAGGAAGCAGGATGGTTAGATGAAGATTATGACTGTAATGATGGTTTCTAGAGATGATCCATTTTTTTAATAATAGTTACAATAGGATGGATTGATTTAATAAATAGGTGGATCAATTTAACATTTTTTTCTATATATATATATATATATATATATGTTAAATATTTGATAATTATTTTTTAAAATTCTAATATAATAATACAACAATTAAGTATTAATTATATCCATTAAATTATTTAGTTTTTGTATTTGAATTTATATATATATATCTATTATGTAAGACATCTTGGATATAACACAAAGAAAAAAAGAAGTCTTTTGATTGGCCGTGAAGAAGGGAACACATAAAACTTAAAAAACATAGGAACTAAGAAACATGGAAGTGAGGGAATATATGAATCAATGAGTATAAAACTAAAGGAATGTAAGAATACAAGAACTAGAGAATATAGAAACAAAACAATATAGAAATAAAAGAGCATGGATGAGCAAAAAAATGGATGGATGTGCCAAAGATCCCAATATCTAATGATAAAATTTTTAGCTCATATCTATCTATCTATCTATATATATATATATATATATATATGAGTATTGCTAATACTACCTTAATTTTTGCAATTGCCTCTAAAACTCATTTTTATCAATTATTATTTTTTAAAATTAAAATTCAATTAAAATTTAATGTAATTAGAAATATTAATAATTTTTTTTATTGGAATAAAAAAAACTAAACAAATATATAGAGTGGATAGCAAGTTGTAGTAGCAATAGCTAAAGCTATGGTGACATGTGGTGGATGGCAAATTATGGAAGCAATAGTCAAAATTTTTGTAGCATTAATAATATTCTATATATGTATAAATTTAGTTTATCAAATTTTGAATAAAATACATTGATTTTGAAATGTGCCAAATGATTAGTTTTTATATATTTTATTAAAAATAATTCTTATATTTTATAGTTTATTTATTTATTTTTAAAGCCTTAACAAGTTGTTATAATTAGGTAGCATAGATAGTAGCTAAAAGTGATCTTTGCTGCAAAGATCATAATTTTATTTATTTTATTATTTTTTAATTTTTCAATCTAAATATGTCCAAAATCTCATTCAAATATGAATTTAAATTGTATAAAAATAATGAATCTTTTTATATCAAGGGTATAAACCAAGAAAGAATATTTGTAGTTATAATATGATTTATATATTCTATTTGAGTGATTCTATTAAGATATTAAAAAAGATATAATTTTCAAAAGAACTTGACTTTTTTTAAAAAATTAAAAAATTTTGATATTTTTCCATCAAAATTCTTCTATATACTAATTTTTGGTTCTTTCATACTTGTAGTAGCAATACTTATAGGATTTACTTGCAAAGTTGATCTTCTTATACTTGCTTCTCTCAATTGTACAACTTTTTGGCATTAATATGCAATCTTATTGTTGAATTCTTATATATGTATAGAAATAGTATTTTTATATTTAAAATTTTTAATACATAATTTTTTTACTTAAAAAATATTAAAAACCTTGTAAAGATTTGTTGCAATTCAAATATAATTTTTTGAAAATTAAGACAACATAAAATCAAACATTTAGAAAAATTGTATCAATACTTAGATAATTATTGTACTACAAATTGTGTCAAGATTATAATGTGTCACTCATAATTAATCCTTAAAAAAAAACTTCTAAGACTTGTAATAAGACTCATGAAAATTCATAATTATACATACAAAAATAATACCTCAAAGTCACAAAAAATAAAACAAAATTTGTATTGTAGAATATTGCTTTACAACTTGCCTTATAATGGCTCACATAATGCTTTGTTGCTCTTTCTAAGAATCCCTTTGTTTGCATATTTTTGTGGCATTGCTCCTTTTAGATAGAATAAGATATACATATATAATAATATATATTTAGTTTCACATTTTATATAAGTAAAGTAACTAAGAATAACCAATATACATCAACAACATCCAACATATAAGAGTTTTTAATAATACTTGAACTTCTCTATAGTCACTAGCTTTGTCAACATATCGACAATATTTTCTTTTACATGAATCTCTTCCAAGCAAAGTCCTTGTTTATTTATTACTTCTTTAATAAAATATTATTTAATATCAATATGCTTTATTTTAATATGATATATTTGATTGTGGCTAAATTTATTATATTCTAATTATTATAATATAGCATAGTTCTATCATATATCAAACTTAGATCTCTAACAAGTATCTGCAACCAAATAGCATCCTTTATTATAACTAATGCACTTATACATTCAACTTCTTTAGTAGAAAGACCAATATAAGGTTGGAGTGTCAATTTCCAACTTATAAGTCCACCAACCAACATAAATAAGTAATTTGTAGTAGATCTTCTCTTTTCTAAGTTCCTAACATAATTATCATCTATAAAACAAATGAGTACTCTTGCATTATTTATAGTACCATCATATATAATACCTATGTCCACATTGCCTCTCAGGTAGCAAAGTATCTACTTCACTATATTTCAATGCTCTATTATTTGGTTAACTATATATCTATTAATCACACTTAGTGTATGTGAGATGTTTGATTTGGTGCATATCATAGCATACATCAAGCTTCTAACTATACTAAATGATACATTGGACATAGAAGTCCATTCATTCTTTGATATGGAATATTATCTAAAGATAGTCTAAAGTGAGCACTTAGAGGTGTACTCACTAGTTTGGCATTTTCTATGCCAATATTCATAAGTACTTTTTTCAAGTACAATCTTTAAGACATCCACAATTACCTTTGTCTACAAACTTTATAAATGTATATTTTAAAAATCTTCTTAGAAGGACCTAACTCCTTTATGTTAAACTTTCTATTCATTTTTTTTTTATTTAATTTATAAATATTTGATATGTTATCAATAATAATGAGTATATCTTTATTTAATATTTAAAAAACCTCAAGTTATTATATATAGATTTTTTTAATCTTGCCATGTAAAAAAATAATAATAAGAATCATTTGCTTTAACTCTAAATTATTATTATTATTTTTAATAATAGTTAAGAATATACAAATGTAATTGATCTTTATCAATTGCAAAAAAATCTTCTTGAAGTCAAGACCTAATCTTTGTAAGTAACTTTAAGCTAAAAGTCTAGTCTTATAGCAATCACTACTAGTCTTTGGAGTTCTTTACTTCTTATTAAACATCCATCCTCATCCAATTGTCTTATTATCCTTATGTAATTACACCAATTTATATACACAATTATATTGAAGAGAATCTAACTTTGCTTCTATAGCAACTTGTCATTCTTTTTGTGATAGACCTTGCAACATTTCTAAGTAGCAAGTTGCTTTATTATTCTTTGTAATTAAAATATAAGAAATAATATCTATGCTAATACATAAAAAATAATACCTATCAAGTTGTCTACAAGTTTTTATAGACCTACAAAATATGACACCCTAAATTATAGGATTTTATTTAATATCTTGACTTTTATTTACTTTTTGTTCATTATCTATAATGTCTAAGACATTTAACTCTATCTAAACAAATTCAACAAGAGATATATCATCTTTAAATTGAGGTCCTATTCTAAAATTTCTTTTATATATAGAAGATTCATCAAATGTTACATTTTTTTCACAATCTTCTTATATGCATTAAGATCCAATAATCTATATTTCTTTGCATTTTTTTGATATCTTAAAAAAATATATTTTATAACTATTAGTTCTAACTTTGACTTCTTTATTTGTAATACATAAACATACATAGGACATTCAAAAAATTTAAATACAAAATAATGTACAAGTCTACTATTCCATATTTATTTAGGTATCTTATAACCAATAGTAGTAGCAAAAGATAAATTTATCAAGAAATATAAAGTATTTATAACTTTTACCTAAAAACTCGTTTTCAAACTAACATTGCTCAACATGCTCCATTCTCTCTTCAATAAAATATAGTTCATTTATTTCACTATTCTATTTTATTGTGGATTTCTAAGGATTTTAGAGTGATGCACATTTCTATACTTCTTGAAAAAATGCTTGAATTCTTTAGATTTATACTCTCTAATATTATTAGACTTGGAGGATTTTAACTTCTTCTTTAATTTTTTTTCTATCATAGTCTTTTATTCTTTAAATAAACTACATACTTCCAACTTTGCTTTTATGAAGAATATCCATATTTTTTTGAAAAAATCATCTATAAAAAAAAATAAACTATAAAAAAAGAAATCAAAAGAATTGGTGTAGGTTTTCAAACATCTAAGTATATATAATCCAAAATATCTAATATAAAATAAACAAGAGTATTGAAACTTACTCTATATTACTAGCTAAATATATGATGCTTGCAAAAATCAATCTTACAATCCTTTACATGTTTCAACAATTCATATTTTTGTAGCTTTCATTATCAACCATTTATTCATGTAGTCTAATTACATGTGTGATAATAAATCTTGATTTTTAGCACTTTTATTTAAGATATATATAGCAATAGCAACAATTCTACTTATATAGTAGTCTACTCTAAGATGATACATATTTCTAAGCTTCTTCACCTTCATCAAAATCAAAGTTCTTTTTTAAACTTTGAGAATATCTTTT